TCAGAAAAATCATGAATTATAAGTTCAAAATGGGTCAGGCATGGAACCAACTCTGTTCTTACTGTCTGGCTGCCTATCAGTGTGGCAAGTTGGGTTTAAATTTCATTCATTATTGTTTTATTTGAAGTAAGTGTTTCCAATTTCTCTCAAAACCTGCACAGCTTCAAGAATTTGCAGCAAATGAAGAAAACCTGGCTCTTCTGGAAAACCTAGCATTAATAAATGAAGTCTCCAAAGTCTACATTAATTTCCTGGTTGAACACAATCCAAATTTTAATGCTTCAAGGTATGAATCCAATGATTTAACTTTTGAGTAATATGTAAAATGTAAGATCTTGTTCATGATATAAATAGATCTGAAATAAATAGACTGACTTCTAAAACTGGGATAGATTTTGAAATTTCTCCATTTTGCAGTTTATTGATAATTCAAAATTAGACGTATTTTAATTCAAAGGATTAATCCATTAGGAAATTCAAATGCGCCTCCATCTGATTATATTATATCAATAACTGAACCTCTGTTGCTTTGCTTCTGAGTGAAATAATTCCCTGCATTTTAAATTGGTCCCATTAATTGCTGTCAGAAACAAAGTCTTCTGCTCCCTAAAGAGAAAGAAGTACAAATATTTTTCATCTCCCTGTGTTGGTCAACAGTTTGTATGTATATGCTTCTCCATTACTTACTGTTCCATTTCAGCTCAACAAATTCAGATTATTCCTCTAGGCATGACTTACATTGTTGTTATCTCCTCTTACACTTAACTGTTCTCAATTGGAGTACCTTTTTGATCCTTTCGTTTTTTATCACCATCCAACCACATCTATCTCTTTCTCCCTTCTGCCTCTATTTCCAACAGGGGCTGATATTAAGCTAGGAAACTGTGCAGTCTTTCTTTCCTAGAACAAATTGTTGGCCCAGTGGGAACTATGCTGCTCAAGTGGAATAGTTAGGTGCTTGTTTCTTTCAATGGCACACACTTGGTGAGCTGAAGGGCCTTTTTCCATCCTACATACTTCTACGATTCTAAATGAAAATGTGCAAAGGTGATTAAAGCCGTGGATCTGAATCCTGGATTGACATCCGGTGGGGTACGCGCATTTGGAATATGTGGTCAACTCCCCCTCATAAAATATATTGCAGGATCCTATTAAACTGAACAACTGCTTCGAACGAATGGCCCTGTTGGCTGGAATAATGACAGTCATGACCATCAAAGGAGTGTTCACAACACAGCCAGTCAGACTATTAATCATCCTGTTCACACTATTACCAAGGGAAAGAAGTAAACACCTTTATTTCAGGATAGCTTTTCTGAGATAGTAGGAACTGCAAATGCTGGAGAATCCGAGACAACAAGGTGCAGGGCTGGATGAACACAGCAGGCCAAGCAGCATCATAGGAGCAGAAAGGCTGACGTTTCGGGCCTAGACCCTTCATCAGAAGGGTCTTTTCTGATGAAGGGTCTAGGCCCGAAACGTCAGCTTTTCTGCTCCTATGATGTAGCTTTTCTGAGATGCTTTATCTTCAGTGAGACATTTGAAAGTGTGCTGATTATGAACAAATGTAACTCTCTGATCCTTAGCTCAGCATAGATGAGATCTTGAAAAAATGTCCCTTAAAGCAGTACATTGCAAACTTCAAGGCCACTGAACTGGGAATGGTTACCTGGAGCTGTTCAATGCTGACTTTGCTGGGATTTGTGCAGTTAGTGAGAGCTCCATGTGCAGGCTAGACCATCCACTTTGAGATTGGTATCCATGACCCCAGCCTTGATTCCTCAAGCAAAGGTTAGAGGGGGCTGTCTAAACAAACACTCAGCTTGATCATGTTCCACTAAATCTCTTTGGCATGGAAACCAAGTCTTGATATGTTGAGTGAAATACCAATATCCTTCAATGCTGCAAGGCACTTGGACATGGCCTCATATGTGTTTGTGGTGAGCAACATGCCAGACCTCACCAACACGACAGCCTGGCTGATGCAAAAGTCCTAGCCCACTTGTGATTTTTAAAACATTTAAGCCCTCTTAGATGTTTATATGAAAAATTTGAAATTTTGTGCACAGTTTCAAAGTCATGGGCCACTGGAAAATTACTGTTTTACGTTCAAACTGGTGCATTCAGGAGAATCATACAACTTTTCAGTCAACAATCACCATTTTTTTTTACTGGAGAGAAAGCTTCTGTACCAATTCTTGAAAAATTGATCAATACAATACCCTGGTGGAGGTTGTGTGCATAAAGTTTCCAGAAACTTAAGGTGCAATCTGTTCATCCTTTACTGCTAAAGGTTAATTGAAGCACAATTTCACTCATTGTAATTTCTGTTTAAACTTGTAAGCCTTTTCTGTTTACCTTTACATCAGGCACTGGGCTGTGGTTATACTGTTTCAAATGCTTGCTCTGGTAACCTGAGATGAATTGATGAGTTGGTTTGTGTTTTCCTTGCTTTCTTTTGCCTGTTTCTGTTGTACCTTTTGACTATTTTTCCTTATGTGAAAAATTTCAATAAAAAGAAATAATGTGTATTTCAGATATGTGTACAAGTATTAAAATGTATTGCACATGTAATGCATCATTTTAAGTGCGTTATGAATAGCCCTTGTGCTGTATGTATATATAAATTGCAATTTTCTCTTGCCCTTTCGCTATTTAAGCATTAAGTGCTAATGTTCAAGCAGTACCTTATTAATCAATTAAAATATAAGCTGTCTGGACATCCTGCTTGTTTTGCCTGTTCCTTTTGCCACATTGGAGCTGTAAACTGATTTGTGAACCCATTCATTTTTATAACAGCTCCTTGCATCTTGTAGTCAGGTGTTGTATTCTGAGACAGGTATCTCATCTTATTTTTAGCACCATAGTGATGGCAAATAGTCATTTAGTAGTTAAGAATCAAGCATTGCTGAAAGAAAACACATTTTGTCCAGGTTTTTCATGCTGTACTCATCTGGATAATTTGCAAGACATACCAATGTTTACAAAAACAATATTTATTAATATTCTTTTATATTTATTTAGTACAGATATAAATATTCAATATTTATCTAACCATATTAGTACAGGCTTTGCCATGGTGAATGTATTGTCATTAATTGTCCGAATGAGTGCAAGATGATTTTGATTGGGTGGAATTTTTTTTTCTGCAATATTCAGAGTGATAGCAATGAATTCACTACAAAAATTAACTGGCAACGCAAGATATTTGTAAAATAAAACCTCTGGGGCTAACTTTAGTTATGTGATTTTCTTTTTTGTTTGTCAAACATCAGAGTAAATTTGTCCAGTGATTGCAAACAATGCGTGATCTCCCAACATGAGTGAGTTCCAACTATGTAATGGGTTTTCACAGTAGCAGCTCTTGCCTGAGGCATGATGACCCTCAGTTTAAACCGCCACCAGTTAACTCTCTAATGAGAGAGCAGTCCTGTAATCCTCTGGAACTATGGTCGACTTTACCTTTCAATTACATTGCAAATAGACAAATGCAAATTGCATTTGTTTACCATGGGACTATGACATTGGTCCATCAGATCTATGGATATTAATGTAGCTGGGGTTTGCAGGGTTGGGTGTACTTGAATTCCAAGATGATCAGAGTCTCATGAAAGTGCTCTATGCTCTTTGATGAAGTATGTGGAGAAAGCAGTTGTCTGTTGGTAAGTTGTTTACCTTTCTATATGCCTGGAATTAGAATAGATGAAATTTATGGTAGAACATAATTGAGTTGATTTTTAGCAGACTTTAATTGGATATATATCTGGTACATTTGATTTATTAAAATTTCTTTTGGTAGGCTTGTAATTGGTAGAATTTGTAGATTGAGTGCAATTATGGAGATTTATTGATACAATTTAAAATTTTTTTTGGAAGGGTTAGATTGGTAGAATTAGAGCTTGTTTTGTTCAAATCTGATTGACAGAGTCTTTTTTCTGGTCAAATCTGATTGAGTAAAATCTTTTGTTGATTTATTGTAATCGGGGAGAAAATGAAATTGCTAGATTTTGAGTGATTTGATTAATAAATAATGACCATACATGGTAATCAAAATGCAATTAATTAAAGACTTAACCAATGAGAATGAAGAAAATTCATGAACACACTGAGAGGTGAAATTTCAAAGACAGATTGTATCCGCAAAGCTGGTGTCAGAAACTCTGCCATAAAGACATAACACTCCTACATTAGGCATTTTGATCAGATGCTGTTGACTAATATGTTCTGTACGCATTTGGAAGGCATTGCTTTGAAAGTCACCTTTCAGTTGATTCATCAGTTAAGCAAGGCAGAGTGCATCATTTTAAAATGTCAGGACCTGCGAAACGTTTCACATTATGCAGTTGATATATTCGCTATCATCATTTGTACGCTTTTAAAAATGCAATATGACACCCTGCAAAAATCCTCCAATGTAAATCTTACAGTATCAGTAAAGCACAGAATGCAGTTGTTTTGAAAGACAATGCTAATGCAGTTTGTGACTGGTGTTCTTTTGCAGACTGCCAAACTCTCTGCTTTGCTTCATTACTGATACCAATCTGCTTCAGTCCTTGGATGCACAGCAGGCCTTGGCTCTAACTGAAAGGATAAACCAAGTCTGTGGGCTTAATACGCTGCCTAACGCAACTACCAATGGAACAGGACCAGTGGAAGGTCCAACAGATGAGCAATTGAAGGTAGGTGGGGAATCACGACTGCAAGATATACAAGTGCATGCTCAGAGAGACATGGAGTGTGAATGCTGTTTTTGGTTTTTTTGCAGCTTTCGATTGCTATAGTGAGCAAAATCGACAACTTCACAGTCAGCACTTTGAATACTCTGGGACAAACAGCTGTTGGACTGTCAGTGTCACAGGTTGGAAATATTGACGGGGAGACTCTGCAGAATGCACTGCCAAGCCTGGGTAAAGTCAGAGGCTGGAATGTGGGCCAGGCCAATGCGATTGTCATCAGGTTACTGAGAAATGGCTT